TAATAAGGATCTATGGCATTAGCAAAGAACAAACAAAGCATGCAGCTAGCATTTATCAGTTACACAGACTTGTCCTTACTTAGCATACATAATCCATCAGTGCAGTTTTTTGATTGTAAAACAGGACCATCACAGTCTTTTCCTCCATTTCTAGGTGGGGGATTTGTGCAGTCCCTACGACGCCAATGCCATGTGTGCACTCTGTCCCACATGTAGACCATTTACTCCATGCAGTCCATTCTCCATCCTCTGAGAAAAGAAAAATACATACATTAAAAAATCTCAATTTTAATATGATGCAGAAAATTAGAGATACATTTACTTAATGATGGTGATAATTAAATATATTATGTACTGTATATATTATTGCAAAATCCTAAATATAACTTGCACAAATCTAAAAATAGACCAGAAACCACTATACCTTACAAACACCATTGCTATATCAGTGTGTCAGGCCTTCTATACACTCATATGTCCCACAATGCGCTTCTTTAGACTCAGTATATTCCTCCTGTCCTTTTTTGCCATTATCTGCTACTTGTAACAGATGCTGAAGATATAAGATAAAGGCTAAGACAGAGGTCAATATACAGGTGAAACTCAAAAAATTAGAATATCGTGAAAAAGTTAATTCATTTCAGTAATGCAACTTAAAAGGTGAAACTAATATATGAGATAGACTCGTTATATGCAAAGCAAGATAGTTCAAGCCGTGATTTGTCATAAGTGTGATGATTATGGCTTACAGCTCATGAAAACCCCAAATCCACAATCTCAGAAAATTAGAATATTACATGCAATCAATAAAACAAGGATTGTACATAGAACAATATCGGACCTCTGAAAAGTATAAGCATGCATATGTACTCAGTACTTGGTTTGGGCCCCTTTTGCAGCAATTACTGCCTCAATGTGGCGTGGCATGGAAGCTATCAGCCTGTGACACTGCTGAGGTGTTATGGAAGACCAGGATGCTTCAATAGCGGCCTTCAGCTCTTCTGCATTGTTTGGTCTCATGTCTCTCATCTTTCTCTTGGCAATGCCCCATAGATTCTCTATGGGGTTCAGGTCAGGCAAGTTTGCTGGCCAATCAAGCACAGTAATCCCAAGGTCATTGAACCAGGTTTTGGTGCTTTTGGCAGTGGAGGCAGGTGCCAAGCCTGCTGGAAAATGAAGTCAGCATCCCCATAAAGCTCATCTGCGGAAGGAAGCATGAAGTACTCCAAAATCTCCTGGTAGACAGCTGCGTTGACCCTGGACTTAATGAAGCACAGTGGACCAACACCAGCAGATGACATGGCTCCCCAAATCAACACCGACTGTGGAAACTTCACACTTGACTTCAAGCAACTTGCAGTGTGTGCCTCTCCATTCTTCCTCCATACTCTGGCTCCTTGGTTTCCAAATGAGAAAAAAGTTGCTCTCATCAGAAAAGAAGACTTTGGACCACTCAGCAACAGACCAGGTCTGTTTTTCTTTAGCCCAGGTAAGACGCTTCTGACGTTGTTTGTTGTTCAGGAGCGGCTTGACAAGAGGAATACGATATCTGAAGAACATGTCCAGGATCCGTCTGTGTGTGGTGGCTCTTGATGCACTGACTCCAGCCTCAGTCCACTCCTTGTGAAAGTCCCCAACACTTTTGAATGGTCTTTTCCTGACAATCCTCTCCAGGCTGCGGTCATCCCTGCTGCTTGTGCACCTTTTTCTTCCAAATTTTTCCCTTCCACATAACTTTCTATTAATGTGCTTTGATACAGCACTTTGGGAACATCCAACGTCTTTTGCAATTACCTATTGAGGCTTTCCCTCCTTATGGAGGGTGTCAATGATGGTTTTCTGCACAATTGTCAGGTCAGCAGTCTTTCCCATGATTGTGATTCCTACTGAACCAGACTGAGAGTCCATTTAAAGGCTCAGGAACCCTTTGCAAGGTGTTATGGCCTAATTAGCTGATTAGAGTGGGACACTTTGAGCCGAGAATATTGCACCTTTTCACAATATTCTAATTTTCTGAGATTGTGGATTTGGGGTTTTCATGAGCTGTAAGCCATAATCATCACAATTATGACAAATCACAGCTTGAACTATCTTGCTTTGCATGTAATGAGTCTATCTCATATATTAGTTTCACCTTTTAAGTTGCATTACTGAAATAAATTACCTTTTGCACGTTATTCTAATTTTTCTAGTTTCACCTGTAGGTTAGGCCTAGGTTAACTTGCTATCCAGAAAGCAAATGAAGTGTAGTTTAGAACCACTTAGTAAGCAGAAAATGAGCTATATGGAGAGCTTGTAGTTTGGAACCAATCAGACCCCCAAATGATCACACAGCATTCATATCCACTGTTCTGTACATGTTGGTTTACCTCATTGGGGAGATCAAGGTTATTTCTGTCCATCTGAAAGGAGATTACTATTCAACAATGACTGTTTGCTCATCTCACATGGACCAGCTATCATTATGCTCAATACCATGTTGGCATATAGAGGTGTTTAGGCTCTACCTTGATCCAGATAAAATCCATACACACTTCACCTTCATTCTTTAAGAAAAGATCTAATTTGAGATGTTTTGAAGGTATGCATGCCAGGCTAATGAATCTTGATGGTCAATGTAGTAGAATTTCTTCCATGTGTCAACCTAACCAAAATGTGTTATATTTCCTCTGCTATCACTTGCTCAAACTTGTATCATAATAGAACAGTACCTGGGCACAGTGTGGTGCAGCTTATTTTCTGAACACTTTGTCCATCACAGACAGCTCCACCATTCAGTGGTGCAGGATTTGTACACATTCTTGTTCGTTTTTGGAAGCCTTTTCCACATCGGTTGCTGCATGCTGACCACTCTGTCCACGTAGACCACCCTCCATTCACTAAAAAAAGACAACAAACAGCAGCAAGGTATTTTATCACAGCGAATAAACATGTAGTTCATCTTATATTAATGTATAATTATATTATTATATCTTATATTGTATTATATTCAAACTCAACTTATCAGGCAATCTGTGTCTCTCATTAATTATCTAATTTTGTTTTTAATTACATTGCAGCACCCCAAAGATATCCATATTTTTCACAGTGTATGTGGATGCTATGGGCAGAGATTACAGAGACTGATTGTGTGTTCATAAGTGAGCACAGAATTGCTCTCTGATTGCTGCTGCACACGAGCATGGTAGGGGAGCTGTGTAACAGTGTCAGTGTTGTAATTAACACCTTAGGTCGCGTAGCAGTGGAGACAGTGCTAGTCCATCTGCTGCTTGAATATAGGTGTCATTGAAGAGGAGTGGATGTTACTGGGTGGACTGTATTAGCATTCAGATAGTTCCATCTAACGGCCACTTGTGCCATCACTTTCATGAAAAATGTGCTCTGGACTACAGGGGACTTGTCCTAGACAGTCATGCGTCTGAGGAAGGGGCTAGATGAAGCTGTATAACATCCATCCCTAAATGCTTCAAACATCCATGAAGAAGTGCATGCCTTAAGTGTGGAGTGCAGAGGGAGAAAAGAAAAACAGAAGGCTGAATTGCAATACAAGCACTTAACAAAGCACAGATACAATTAATTAGTAAAACTTGAGTTAGGCTTAGTAACAGGGTTTGTATGTCTAAAAGTGTGTATAATATGACACATTTGGGTGATATTGCTATATATGATGATACATTAATTGACCCTGAAGTGTTGAGGCCATTGTGCAAGCAAGGCAACCTAGCAGTTTCAGAACAGAGATGATTATATGCAACCAAAATGAAACTTGGAGGCTGCCATTGCTGAACATTTTAATTGTCTGAGTGTCATGCTGAACTACTTGCTTCAAAACTTTGGAATTAATGTATTAAGATAATTGATAGGTAAAGTGGTGATCACTTCAATCATTCTATCATGTGCAAGCACAAATCCAGTTTTTTTTAAACTTCCCTTGAATATGACTAGACATTCAAGTTAAAACCGAACTTCATCGTATTAACTAAGCTAAGGGCCTTATTTAAATAAAAACAGTATAGACTTACCATGGTCATACCGCTGCATAAAAAAAGACAGACACAGGCACATTTAAAAAGCATAAAGGTGAGCTTCAAAAATTTGCCCTCTGTTGTGTTTGCTTTGATTCTCCAATGTAAGGAAATCCTCATTCATTGCAATGTATGCAAAGAACACTTGGAAGGATACTGACTTACATTTTATAAAAATTTCATAAAATGTAGGTGTAGCATACTGTAAAAAATGTGGTGTCTGGTGTACAATGGTTTTGGCCCTCCATTTTAAGAAAACCCCTAAGTGATCATTCACTTTTCCACTATACAGAGAAAATATGCGAAATACAAGCTTGCCTGTTTGATTTTCAGTTTGAGCCTTATTGGTCAGGGAAAAAATTTTATTGCAGATTTTCATGTTCTCCCTTTGCTATCAGTATGAGAACAATAAAGGGACAACCCTATCTCCTTTTTTTTTTTTTTTCCTGTCTTCATTGGATAGGTTTCCTATTGCTTCCTGTCTCTGTGACACCTTGTGACCAGGACTTATCTTCAGAATTGACAGAGAAAGCAAAAAAACAAACAAAACAAAACTAATCCAGTAATATTCCATTTATTTCAAGCATGTGTGTAGCTGTGTGCCTGGAGTTCATTTTCAACATGGCTTCCAGCCATTTCCAGTAACTGAGGAGTGAGAAAATTATCTGTTACTGCTCCATAAACAGTCTGATTATCATCCAGTCCTGTTGTAATTGTAGATATCAAATGAATGCCTTTGGGTATTTAAACTGGGGGATGGAGTTGGGAAACACTGCACTAGAGTTATCTGACCAACTGCTGATTTATTTGTGAGGTTTACAGTTAATCTGCACTTTGCTAGTAAATACTCATTAGTGTTTCTAGTCAAGGCCATGGAAGAAATACACATTTACTGTCATCCACCAATGACTACAAATGCAATAGAGTTATATAATAGTCAATAAGGTATTTATTTTCCGGACTTCTGTAATCCTACTACTGCACATCAGTCATTGTCTTACCATATACGATTACTGTAGCTGTCGTACTTCTTCTTTTGGCCACAATGTTTTTGGCAACACATGTATAATTGGCAGTGTCTGAGAGCCTTGCTTGCTTGATGATGAGGTTATGATCAATTGTAATGTAAAAATTCCGATCTTCCACAGGATCGATGATATCCTCATTTTTCAACCACTCCACCTAATAAAAAGAAGACATTTGAAATATGTGATTGCTACCTCGTTGTTTATTTTGACTCTTATCTCAGTAAGTAAAAGAGTTTTATTGCAGGTTTTTCACTTTATAAAAATATTATATTTTGGAAACAGTTTAATGATTACTGGGCATGTAATTGCTGAGCTGAATGGCTCTCGGCTCTGAAAGGTGGCCAAAGTGCACTGGTGAGCAGAAATCCATAAGCCGCTTCTTCAGTCTTGTCATAAGCCATTAATAATAAGCCAGTGTCCTGAAGTAGATTGATACTAGCAGCACAAATAAAAAGCAGAACAAATAGATGCAGAGCCACCGTGTCATAAATAAAGATCTCTCCTTTCCGCAAATTGGTTAATTTTATATATTATCTGCTGAGCTGTGTGACAGTTTAGCTGCTCCCTGAAAAGGTTCTATCTATGTAAATTGCCACCTAAATAGAATGTTTTAGTATTAGCAATAGATGAAGCTATTAATCCAAAGTGCAAAGAGTAAAAAAAGAGGGAAAAAGCAGGGTTCTTGTATAATGAGAGCATTCCTTCATGTTTATTTCTGGTGTGCCTTTGAAGAGTTTCACAGACTTGTCTGTTGTGTACACTGAAAATTTAAAGGAACACTTCCCCACAGTGTTTCCTCTTCACAACTCCAACAACTTTGTTTTTGTATTTGCAATGGTATATATCAGTTCATAAACAGTCCAAATGACAGAAAAAAAGTAGGCATATTCCTTTGATGATGTGTATGTGTGCACGAAACGCACTGGATGGAGTCTTATGTGCTGACGTCACGCCGCCGAGTCCATGTTTGGAACGGTGGCCATCTTTAGGTTTTTTTTGATCAACAATCCTACCTATGCTGAAAATGACCAGGGGATTCCAGTTTGGCTGGAGTGTCTTATTAGGTTTATATGCTTTAGCCTTTGGTAAGTGCATACTGGTGGAGGATTGGCACGGGAGACTTGCCATGTTTTTTAATTTATGACACTGTGTAACATTTATAGTGGAGACTCCTAAGTTGTCTATCTCCCCCCTTTTTTCTGTCATTTGTACTATTATTGGATTATTTTTCTTTTGGAAGATTTGTATGGATCATTTATTTATGTTATATTTAATTCTATGAACTTTTTAGTCACATGAGTTATGTATGTGGATTATGGGGTTCTTTTTTTGATGCACTTTATTTTAGTACTGCACCATTTGTTTTATGTCTGTTTTACTAGGTTGGTTTACCTTTAAGTGACAGCAGCTCTTATCTCTAAGCGCTCGCTGTTATTTCTTCTTTTTTGCATAGAAAAAAGAAGGTTTACCCAATCCTTAGTCTGAACTGCTTCATCTGTAAACATTTTTGGTTGATTTGGGTGCCTAGTGCTCTCAAATGATCTATTGCATGATGCAAAAAAGCATAGACCACCCTTCTCGTAAGGTAAGGCAGGGTTGTCTAGTAAATTCTGGGAAAGTTAGCTACACAAACACTACAGCCATGTGCTTACAGCAACAAGCTCATATTTTTTTATTCAGTTTTCCTTTTAGATTTGATAAATCAACAAAGTTCACCAACATTTACCTATTTTGATGATGATCTAATTAGCATATCAAGCATGTCAACCATCACACTATGCACAAAGGTTAGACATTTTGGCACTGTAATAGGTTAGAGCTAAAATATATAGGTGACTGTGTGTTGTCCACATTACTCTTGCAAACGAAGACTTCTAAAAATGCCTTTTTTGTAAACCATACCTGAGGATCTAATATGACACTGGTGCCTCTTGACTGCTTTCAAAATAATTTTATGATAGATATCATCAATAATAATTGCTATTACAATTAAAAATAATTTATACTTTGTGCGTTTATAAAGGTTCTCTAATATAAACTGCACAATACTCACAATGTGTTTGCTATGATGACAGCTGGATGCAAATCAAAGAAGAATAACTGAAGCAATGGGTTTGTTATCTCTAAATAGCATGGATTGTGTACACATAAAAACAACCTATTATTTTCCATGCTCAATGCAACTCCATTATTTAACATATTATGCTTCCTTCCATGCCTTTGTCAGGCAGCCCTTGCCAGTGGCAACAGCAGAGCAGTGAATGAACTTCAGTAGCTGGCACTGGAAAATCTCTGCCTAAAGCTTCTGTTAAGTTCCTCAGAGTATAACATATGGAGTGTCATATGCTACCGTTATATAGTACTTGCTGATCACTGCATTCCAGCCAACATGTTTTATGTGAACGGATGTGATGAAAGTTGCAGCTATGCTAATTGAAATCAACTTTTAACTAACTAAAGCATTCCCTGCTACCCAATCATGAGCAATATACACACTTTTATAGTTTGGGTTTATTTCAACTTGGTATTTGTACAAATGCTGGGAATCTGAACAGCAATTTAATGTTAAGAATTCCAGTAGAGATGCATCTTTGCCTGTGTTATCCCCTGCCTACACAAGTTCACAAATGTCATTGTTTCTTCTTTAGTGTGGCCAGTGGTTTCATAGAGTGGAGGGTTTAATTCTTTCTTTAAAGTGAAAGTAAGTGTCAGTGCAAACAAAAATATTCAGGACATCTGTGCCAATATGCCAATTTTCCTATATTTTATCCTTTTTAAGACTCTACAAGTACAAAAAAACACTTGTTGATCTGTCAGAAATGCACTCATCTTCTAAGTACTGTTGTCCTAAGTGGTGTCAGTCCTTCCCAGTTTTCGCACCCTCTTTTCTAATCTCTACAACATATACTCTAGTCCCAAAAGACACCCACTATCCCTTTTTAAGACAGAGATAAGAACCCCCCCCCCCCCCCCCATATGAGGTTAAATGAGGCTAGCATGCAAAAAAAATTTTGAAAGAACATTCGTCTGATATTCTAAACATGTGTACCAGCCTTAAGATAACATAGGAAGTGTGCACAAGTCACAGGATAACCCTGGTTTCTGACATCTAACAATTGTTTTGCCTTTATCAAACTGACATAACAAAACGTTTTTACCAGTATATTTAACAGACCAAAAGGGGCCAATAAGAAAAGTCCATTGTTAGGGTTTACAGCCACTTAAAATTTTCTGCTAGCTCAGTAAGGGGTGTACTGGCCAGACAGTGTAAATAGGCAATAAAAAAGAATCAGGTTTCTCCTATCGAAAAATACATTTTATATGTGACTGAGCCTAAAGTCAACAGTGCTCAAAATACAGCAAGAACCATTATTTTAGTAGCAGATGCACCTTTAATTTTAGACTGAGTGATTTTAGGAGGAAATATACATTGTTTAAAGAAGTATTGCCAAAGCTTTTTGGCCATACTTCTATGGATTACAGGAGTGCAATTCGTTCTGCACTTCTGTGACCTGTTTTCAGCAGACAGCGGGCTAAAGCCCTCTGTCAGCTGATGTCACTCAACCAGTCCAGACTCTGGAAAGATCCCAAACATATGGTCAGAATCCACCCAGAAGCCTGACTGGCAGCTGGAAAAGCCTCTCAGCATGCCATTGAGAGCCTGAGCAAGCCTTTCCCACCTCCACCACAGCCTGGTGCTCCAGTGAGCACTGGAGGGGCAGAGCAGAGAGCCAGTGACTTACACGTATCTCTAAATAAACTGACAGTCACTGGCTCTCTGCTCACTGAAGACTGAGAGCTGCCAATCAGTGGTCTTTAAAACTGGGTGTAATTAAAAACCAACTCACACTTGACATGCAAAGACAGGTGGAATTTCTATCTCAGTATGCTGTATAGCAGAGCAGCAAGTTGCCACCACTACCTTCTCCCCTCCTCATCTGCCACTGGTTATCAAGGACACTGTTGGTTTCACAACCAAAAGGCTACTACAAAACAATCACAATGGCAGTGGATGCAGCCTGATGGGGGAGCTAAGGGGATAGTTTCTCATGAAGTCTGCTTTCTTTGGGATTGACAACAGGCAGTGGGCAGATTCTATAACCAATAGCAGTCTGTCTATTGGCTATGAAATCTGCCCACTGCCTGCTGTCAAGCACAAGTGGAGAGGACCTGATGGGGAACCTGGGTCCCAGAAGTCCCATCAGACTCCACCGCCCAGCAACAAAACACCATGACCACTGCCCTGTCTGTGTGACAGCTGCAGTGGCAGGGAGGGAGCTCAGCTGCGCTGAAAATGTCGATATGGAGACTCTGACCTCAGTGTCTTCCCAATGCTGTGCATGTCCAAAATTCATATACCTTTTGGAAACAGGCATATGGATCTGCTTCCCACACCAATATTTGTAATGCAGAGGCAGGACAGAATTATAAAGACATTACCCAGAATATATTTGCTATTGTTATTCATTTAAAAGCATGTCTGTATATAGACAGGTTTAAAATAGGTTACAAAGAGTGGGGTAGAGCAACACATGTATAGGTCTTTCCATTTGTTAAATTAGACTGTACAACAATCCAAACAGAATATCTCCTAGATTGTAAGCTCCAAGGAGCAGGGCCCTCCTATCCCTCTTGTACTGAACTGTATTGTTGCTGTATTGTCTTCCTTTATATTGTAAAGCGCTGAGCAAACTGTTGGCACTATATAAATCCTGTATAATAATAATAATAATCCTGCATAAACACCTCAAAAAGAGCACTTGGCTTTATGAAAAGAACCACCATGTGATACAAACAACAAAATAATATAGGGGAGATTGTCTAAAACTGGTGCACTCAGAATCTGGTGCACTTGTGCATGGTGGCAATAAAACCTTGAAGCTGACTGCTTTCTGTGCAGATTTCACATGCTTCAGTTTTAGTAAATAGCCCCACAATAATGATTACTTGAAACTGAGCACAGAAGATCGTTTGATGTACCCTTCTTTTTGAAACCTACATTTGAACTTTTGGTACCCCAAAAATGGGAAATGACATATACAACACCCATTGGTGTTGTGTAATATTTGCATGTACTTTACTTTGTCTGAAATGTTCCAGGAGTATATATTTTTTCTTTTATGTATATTTTGGATGTTTGTATGTAGGACTGCT